GGATGAAGAGAGGCCGGAGAGAGAGGGCCCTGCTGGACAGGTGGGAGGAGACCCAGGAGGCACGTGCCCCAGAAGTCAGGGGATTCAGTTGGCCTTTCGGAAGCAGCTGCTGCGTGCCTGTGCTCAGTGCCGAGGTGGAGGAATCTTGCTCAGTGGCGTATCCTGGCCTGGAACAGGCCTCAGTATTTGTCGAGTGAATGAAAGAATAGTGACTAGGACTACAGTCACTTACTCCCAAATGCAGGGAGCTGGGGAACACAGTCCCTCACGTAATTCACAAAGGTGGGGGACTGAGTGAAGTGAGCAGAGGCTGGGAATGCAGCCCCAGGCCTGGAGATTTTGGGGGCCAGGGTCCTGCCAGAGGCACTGCCTGACCCTGCCCTCCCAATTACTAGTTTGTGCCCTTCCGGGACTACGTGGACCGCACAGGCAACCACGTGCTGAGCATGGCCCGCCTGGCCCGAGACGTGCTGGCAGAGATCCCCGACCAGCTGGTGTCCTACATGAAGGCACAGGGCATCCGCCCTCGCCCCCCACCCGCCGCACCAACCCACTCGCCCACACAGTCCCCAGCCCGCACACCCCCTGCTTCCCCTCTGCACACGCACATCTGAACCTCGTCTCAGCAGGCAGGTGGCTGGGGCCTGTGAGAGACCAGGCCAACAGGAGGCCTGGCCCCCAGACTCCCCGCAGTGGGCCTGCCCAGCCTTTGGGACATCTGTGTGCCTGGGAGACTGCCAGGGGGTGGGGCTTCTGGAGACCCCTCCTCAATTTCCTGGCCTCACTTACTGCCCAAACCCAAGGAATTGCTGGGCATGGGTGACAGAGGGGTCCACAGGGTTCAGTGACCCAGCTCTTCTCTTCTTCCCTAGTATCTGGCTCAAGCCCAGCCAGGAAGGTATAAACAATCAGGGTGATTGGGGTCCCCGTCACCCACCCCCAGCCGTCCTGTTTGCTTACCTGTCACCCTGAAGCCTGGGCTCGGCCGCCTCCAGCCCTCCATCTACTTCCCATCCTCCCATAGCATCTCCTCCAATCCCTGACCCCTGCCCTGTGGTCTGCCTTTGCCCGATTTCCAGTGAGCCCCAGGAGGCTGATGACGGGTTTGCAGGAAGGCCTGAGCATGTGCCCCCTCCCAGGGACACTGGATGCATCAGGAGCCCTGGGGACCCATGGGGTGCTGTAGTCATGGACCGTAGGCCACGTGATGGGCCTGAAGTGGAGGCTGCTCAGCACAGAGCCCTTTCTGGTGCCTCTCGAGCTCAGTACGATGCAGGTTCTAGACACACAGATCCACAGGCCTCTCCCTGGTGTGGGCCCACAGGCACTTCCATGGTTGACTCCTGGCTTCAGGAATCCCTTCCTCCCTGCGGAGGCTTCCCAGGGCCCTCGGTGCCCACACCTCTGCCCACCTGGAGGCCTGGGCAAGGAGTGGCTCACTATGAGGCTAGTGAGACAGGAGTCCTGTCTCATGAGGCCATCCCATGAGGCTAGGAGACAACAGTCCCGGGTTGGAGCCCTGCCTCCCTCCGCTGCCTAGTGTGGGAACCCCAGCAAGGCCCTTCTACCTTTTGGGCCTCAGTTCCCATGTCTGTATAACAAGAGGATTGACCAGATGGCCCCAGGTTTTCCTTTAGGTCTGACGTCCTGAGGGTCATTCATCCCACGCCCACGTCCCCCCATCCCACTCGTAACCGATGCAGCCCTTTACACGAGGCCACCTTGGCTTTTGGGTCACCCTGTTCCATCCCATCACCCCAAATGCACCCTAGTCCTTCAGCCTTGGGCTCTGGCATCTGAGCCCAAGCTCCTGCCCCTGCTGTGGGAAAGGTGGGGAAGAAGGGACCCTCCCTCCTGGGCCCACCCAGCCGCCCAGCCTTTGCCCACTCAGGCAGCAGGTCATGCATGCCAGTCCCCGTTGCCGCATGGAGCTCCTCAGCCCTCTGCCCTCTCCGCGCGTGGTGGAGACGAGGCCCCCGTCTTCCGCCTGCCTCCGCTTTCCCCTGTCACGCATGGTGGTGGTGTTCCTATGGTGTCTGGTTCTGTGCCCGTCTCTGAGACAGTCTCTGTGTGGAATTTGCCTTAAACTAAAGCAAATTTGGTTCTTTTAGTAAAGGACAATGTGTTTCTTTCTTCTCTGAAAAATAGCACAGATGCTGCTGTTAGACAGTGTCCAGGTTCTCCTCTGTGGCTTCCTTCAATTCTACGATTCAGTGGGATTTACAAGGAAAGGCCACGTGCCACACTGTGTGCTAGGCATGGAGGATGCAGCCGTGAACAAAACACAGACCCTGTCCCCGCATGGGGCTTACAACACACACACACAAATAATATGGGAGAAACACAGTGAACATTTAAACAAATAGGCTAATCACATAATTTCAGGTGACACCAAGAGTTCTAAAGAGACATTGGGCTGAGCACAGTGGCTCACGCCTGTAATCCCAGCACTTTGGAAGGCTGAGGCGGCTGGATCACGAGGTCAAGAGATCAAAACATCCTGACCAACATGGTGAAACCCCGTCTCTAATAAAAATAGAAAAATTAGCCAGGCGTGGTAGGAGGCACCTGTAGTCCCAGCTACTCAGGAGGCTGAGGCAGGAGAATAGCTTGAACCCAGGAGGCGGAGGTTGCAGTGAGCTGAGATGATGCCACTGCACTCTAGCCTGGTGACAGAGCAAGACTATCTCAGAAAAAAAAAAAAAAAAGAGAGAGAAATGAGGGAGAAAGAGGGTGACGTTTTAAATAAGGTGGTGGGAGAGGGCTTCTCTGAGGAGGTCTTGGTTGAGGTGAGCCCCCAGGAAGTGAGACAGGGAGCCCCACTAACATCTGGGGAAGGGGGCTCTCAGTAGAGGGACCAGCAGGTGCAAAGGCCCTGTGGTAGGAGCATGCCCAGTGGTGTGTTTGCAGGAGAGTGAGGCTGGTGTGGCTGGAGCTGAGGACAGGAAGTGGAAGCGTTAGAGGTAGGGTTGGAGAGTGAAGAAGCCAGAATCCACGGGCCATGTAGGCCATGATGAGGCTTTTGGCATTTACTTAGTAAAATGAGAAGCCATTGAGGAGGTGAGAGAAGTCATCAGAATCTCCTCTAAAATAAATGGATTGTTTTATTGCATTTGATCGCTCATTCACTCATCCCCCAACAAGTATTCACCAGACATTAGTGCCAGGCCCCACTCAGGTATCGGAGACCAGGCTGGAGACGCACACATAGAGCTGCACTCTCAGGGGTGCCCCTGCTCAGGGGCAGTGAGCGAGGAAAGCCTACAACAATGGGGCACTGATGCCAAGCCATCAGGAGGGGCTGAGTGATCTGTGGCCACCAGAGTAACTGTGCCATGAGGAGTCCTGCAGCCCCTGCGCAATGGGGTCGTCACCACCACCCGGCCCTTGCGGGGTCATCGCTTGGCCAGAGTGATCAGTACAGATGTGACATACACCCAGGACCCACTGCATTGTAGGTGCCTAAGAAACACTGCTTTCCTCTTGTCCCTCTTCACACATACATCCCTGTGGCCCTCAGGGACCAGGATCATAGCAAAAGGGGATTCCTCCCTTCTCCGGGCAGGTTTGTTCCCAGGTTAGCCCTCCAGGCAGCCATTCCCACCCTGGACATCACATGAAATTTAGAACGAATTAGACCAAAGTTTGGGACCTGTCTGCTCCTGATGATTTTTTAGTAAATGGGTGCTGATTCACGGCTGTCCCTATAATTACATGCCCCTGTGACTTACATTCTGATACGCTTTGAGTGGGAACAGGGTGGGGTCACAGCTTGGAAGGAGGGAAGTTCCCATAACCGGCAGCTCCTGTCACCTCACCACAGGCTCTGTGGGAAAGTGTCAGGAGAGGGTGACTGCCTGGCAGGGGGACTGAGGTGCAGAGCCACTGCCAGGGGCGGGACGGGACGCCAAGAGCATCTTTCCCATGCCTGACACTGCTGTATCTCTCGCGGTTCTTTCCCAAGGTGTGTGCCACGGATCGCTGGTTCCCTGGCATGGAGTTAGGGAACCTGCCTGCCGTGAGCCCCTCTCCGAGAGTCTCAGTGGCCTTTTGGGTATTCAAGGCTCTGATAAGTCCTACGGCAAAGAGATCAGTTTGATTTGCTTCAACCCAATGTTTCTCAAGCTTTGTACCACAGAGTAGGATGGTGTGTGTGTGTGTGTGTGTGTGTGTGTGTGTGTGTGTGTGTGTGTGTTTTGCTGGTAACACCATCACCAACAAAACACATCACCAAGCAAAACACACACCAAGCTGTCTTGGGAATTTCAGTAGAGACAATCTCCCAGGTTTCCAGGCCAACACAGAAGCCTGAGGCCATCCCTGAGCAGGCCAGACGGAGGGCATGGAGGGTGGGAAAGATGGGACCTCGAATTGGGCTCTGGGGAGAAGAAAAGCCCTCCTCTTGTCCACTCACCTCAAATGCCCCTGAATAAAAATAATAACAGTAGCAATGACCAGCACGCATATGCACTTACTAAGCATCCTTCTAAGCACTTTACATGTGTTTAGTAAATTCATCTTCATAACAACCCTGTGAGAAAGGTATGTACTCTCATCCCATTTTCCAGATGAGAACACTGAGACAGCGCATAAGGGCCTTCCTTGCTCAGGATCACACAGTTAGAGAGCAGTGGAACCTACAGGTATCTGAGCCTGAAGGTGGAGTGAGAAGATCCACCCGGTTACCTAGAGATGTGAGCTCTAGCTGAGCCATTTCGTTGCTTTGTGACCTTGGTTGGGCCATCTGCCCTCTGGGTCTCAGTCTCTCCACTGATAAAATAGAGGGGGTGGGCTCTCAGGTCCCTAAGGGTCTTCTCAGCTCCCTTGAATCTCAGCCCCTCTATTAGCCTATACTCTTAGATGCCCCCCGCCCCCAGGCCCCACAGGCCTCCTGGGGCCCTGTCATGGCCAGGCTGGACCAGTCGCCATCACTGAGGCCACCACTCCCACACCTCTGGGATGCCTGGCCATCGTCGGCCTGCAGAAGAGGTCCCTGAGTCCTGCCTGGAAGGGGCGGGAGAGGTAGAAGCAGAGGATAGGGCTGACAGAGCAATTGGAGTAGGCCAGGATGGTGCAGAGGCTGGGGGCCACAAAGGCAGCTGGGGAGGCAGGCAGGTGGTCCATGGCTGCCACGTAGCCCAGCATGGAACAGGGCCCTCACATCAGCACAAAAGCCACCAGCACCACAAGGATGAGCCCTGTGTTCTCTTGGTGCTCCTGGATGCTCTCCCCCACAGGGCCTCAGGGCTGTGTCCACAGGAGCCAGCCCACGTGGCTGAAAGAGCAGCCCAGCCCCAGCATGCATGGCAGGAAGGCCAGGGCTCCCAGCAGGCTGAAGGAGCAGGAGGTCCCAGCAGGGCTCAGGAGCAAGATGCAGGCCCGGGTCTCAGGAGCCCATGCTGTCTCCTGCTCCACTGCCACCCACTGGAACAGCCAGTTGGGCGGGGATGCGGTAAGGCCCAGGGCCCACATGGCCCCACAGAGCAGCAAGCGGGTGCTCCAGCCGGCTGGGAAGGCCACGTCAGGCTGGGCCACAGCCATGTGGCACAGAAGAGCCGTGGCCACCATGCTGTAGAAGGTGCAGAACATGGTGGCTGTGTTGGTGGCCTGGCTAATGGTACAGATGGCAGGGCCCAGCCACCAGTCATGCTGCAGGAAGCTGAGCAGCAGCACGGGCACGACACAGGCCACGAAGAACAGGTCAGATAGTGTGATGTTCATCATGAGACTGTGGGTCAGGGCATGGAGCAGGTGGGGGGTGCCCAGGCCCCGGCCCACCGCCAGCAGCGTGAGCCCATTAGCTGCCAGCCCCACCAGCAGGACAAGGCTGCAGACCCCAGCAAAGACGAGTTGGAGCAGTTGCTCAGGAGTGGCTGTGAGCTGGGTGATGAACGTGGCATTTGGCTGCATTCTCCTGTTTCAGATACACAAGGGCAAAGTAGAAACCAGCCAGCACCAAAGGCCGCCTTCCCCGTTCCTGCTGAGCCTCCTGTTTTCACAGACCCCTTCATGTAGTGGGCCCGGATACATGCCTGTCCTCGGCACACACTAGTCCCACCACTAGTACGGACTCCATCCGTACCATGGGTTCAAATCCTGGCTCTGCTACTTGCTAGCTTCAGTACCCTAGGAAAGCTATTTATTTATTTAGAGATGGAGTCTCACTCTATCACCCAGGCTAGGGCGTGATCTTGACTCACTGCAACCTCCACCTCCCGGGTTCAAGCAATTCTCACGCCTCAGCCTCCCAAAGTGCTGGGATTACAGGCGTGACCCACTGCATCTGGCCCCTGGGAGAGTTACTTAATGTTTCTCTATCTCAATTTCCTCAGCTGTAAGAAAGCAAGGAAATAAAAGAAATAAAACAGACGTCAATAGTAACTGTCGTAAGTGGTAAGACTCGGGTAATTTTCATTTTCTTCTTTAAAATTTATTTCTAAAATTTCTGCAGGGAGTACACATTGCTTTCACAATCTGATAAATGTATATGTACATACACACATATGTATCTAGTTTTTGACAAAACCCTACCCTGTGAAATAAGCAGGTTTAATGTGAGGTTCAAATGGGAAAGTGGCTCTAAAAGGGCTTTGAGAAGGTGTGAAGCCCCTCCTAGTGGTTCCCAAGCTTCTTGGGACCACCTGGGGAGTTTCACAAATACGGAAGCCCGGGTCCCGCCCCCAGAGACATGGTGCAGTTGGTCTGGGCTTTGGCATTTTTGAAAGATCGCAGATAGACGGGGTGCGGTGGCACAGGCCTGTAATCCCAGCACTTTGGGAGGCCGAGGCGGGCAGATCACAAGGTCAAGAGATCGAGATTATTATGGCCAACATGCTTAAACCCCGTCTCTACTAAAAATACAAAAATTAGCTGGGCGTGGTGGCGCGCACCTGTAGTCCCAGCTACTCGGGAGGCTGAGGCAGGAGAATTGCTTGAACATGGGGGTGGAGATTGCAGTGAGTCGAGAGTGTGCTACCATACTCCAGCCTGGCCACAGAATGAAACTCCATCTCAAAAAAAAAAAAAAAATTTAAAAGGAAAGATCCCAGATAATTCTAAGAGCAGACCAGCTTGGGAATCACTGCCCTCTAGGTTGTGCTGTGCAGGTCCCTGGCAGGGTGGGAGCAGTCTGCACCCAGCAGTCAGACCTTTCTCCTCATCCCCACTCTGTCGCACATGTCAAGGTCAGAGTCCTCCCAAGAGTCCGATTGGGAGGACTCTGGCTGGAAGATGGGATGTAGACATCCTAGAGTCAGCCCAGCGGCTGACGTCACCATTGGCCACCCTGCAGGCCCGGCCAGGGCCCCAGAGCTTTAGCTGGAGAGAGCCTTGCCTGCCAACTGAGTACATATTTCCTGAGCATTTGCTTTGGACCAGATTCCGGGAATCCAGCAGCAAACAAGACACAGCAGAGGAGTTCTCATTGGAGTTATCCCCCACTTTTCTCCCACACTGCGGTGGGGGCTGAAGACACCTTTCTCCTGCAGGCTCAAAGCCAGTTTTGAAGGAGTCTCTGAGTCCCTCCTGCAGAGCCCCAGCCTGGGGGACTTAGCTTAGTCTCTGGGGTCCCAGGGCAGCAGCGTGCCTGAGGGCAGCGGAGGAGTGACTGGAGAGGGGCCGCTGTGAATTCTGATGCCGGCCACCCTCCCGGTCCCACCAGCTCCAGGGACTGCAGGAGGAGGGGAAATGAAGGACCTGTCCAAGCACCCCAGCTGCTCTGGATGAAAGCTGTCATCCAGCCACGTTCCTGGCATTTGTCACTTCCTTTTCGTCTCTTTTTCCTGGTCCACACCCACCAATGATGTGGACTATTACTGGAGAGGAATTGGCAGGGAGCAATACGAGGCTTGAGGGACCTGGCCCCTGCCTCTGATTCCCTGAAGCATCCATATCTTCCTGTAAGCAGCTGCATAACTTCAGGGTTAAGTCTGTGGGTATCAGGAGCTTGGGTTTAACACCGGCTCCAGCACTTATTCACTACGGGACTGTGGACAAGCTGCTCAGCCTCCCTATGCAGTACTTTCCTCTTTTGTAATTTGGGGAGAATGTACCCGATGGTGTGAGGACTAAATGAAGTAACATGACCTAAGTGCTCAGAACGGTGCCTGGCACAAAGTAGGCACTGGGTAAAGGAGGGCTGTCATTCTGCCCCAATCACCCTCAGTTCCAGCAAGCGTTCTTCTCTTAGAGCTCCTGCCCAACCTTCTTTCTATCCCCCTGCCCTCCCTTCTCATTCCACAGCCTGAGTCTTGTCAGCCCACTCCTTTTGTAAAGGGTGCCTCCTTTTCTTAATCAGACTCTGGCTAAGCCTAAGCCAGAGCCCCCTTGGCTGACATGCCCCAATAACTCACCACTTGCCTGGAAGTTCCCTCTGAAGTCTACCTGGAGTTTCTCCTGCTGCTGTCATTGCCTGCTTTGTGCTGCTCTGAGGTTCCTGGGTCCTGTTCCCCGGCTTGTGAGTCCTCTGGCAGTGGGAAAGGCTGGTGGTCCTTGTACAGCTGTGCCCTGACCAGCAGGTGGGTCCCACCCGAGAAAGCCAAGAAGGGGTTCTGGGCAGTGTGGAGTCTCTCCCAGAACTCCATCTCCTAGGAGCCTGAGCTGCCTGAGGCCAGAGCAGAACTGAGATGAGAGGGGGAGGCCTGGGGGCCACTCCGGTACTGGGCCCCCAAAGGACAGGGGCTATGTCTTATGTCTGCTGGACTGCCTCTCCCAGGAACCACAATCTGCCTACCTGCCTCATTCACTCCCTGGCCCACAGGACAGAGATGTTGGTGCTTGCCCCAGAGAAAGAGCCATTAGCAACTTCAGGACCTGTTTCCCATCCTGACCCAGGGCCAGCATCACTCACTCCAGCCCACCTCTCTCTCTCTCTCTCTCTCTCTCTCTCTCTCTCTCTGAGCATACCACAGCCCAGGAACTGCTCAGTTCAGGGGCAAGACTGTGGGCTGTGGGAGAGGATCCGAGACGGGAGAAGATGTTGGGGTAAAAAGGGATCAGCGAAGGGCCCAGTAAAAGAATCAGCTGGACCAGGCCAGATGTGGTGGCCCACGCCTGTAATCCCAGCACTTTGGGAGGCCGAGGCATGTGGATCACAAGGTCAGCCTGACCAACATGGTGAAACCCCATCTCTACTAAAAATACAAAAGTTAGCTGGGCATGGTGGCATGGGCCTGTAATCTCCACTACTCAGAAGGCTGAGGCAGGAGAATCGCTTGAACCTGGGAGGTGGAGGTTGCAGTGAGCTGAAATTGCACTATTGTACTCCAGTCTGGGCAACAGAACAAGGCTCTGTCTCAAAAAAAATAAATAAATAAAAAATAAAAATCAGCTAGACCATGGGAATCATCCACATGGAGTCTGGAGGTTGGATGGGATCCATTGAGGGCATCTAATCCAACCTTGGTGGCTTCGGATGCTAGGATCCTCTTCCTCATCTTTTGCCAGGCGTCACCTGGCTTCTGCTTGTGTGCCTCTGGTGATGGAAGGCTCACTGCTGCTGAGACATTCCTTGCAGAACTGAGAAGAGGGATCGGGGCCAGGTCCTAAGACTGTGTGATTCAACAGCCCCCGTCACTTCCTCTTTCTCCTTTATTCTCTCTCTCTCTGTAACTCTATTCCTTGAACTGTCTTTGTTTGTCCCTCTATGAAACAGGGGTTTCTGTTGATTCCACCAGGAAATTCCCCATCACCTGAAGGATTACAAAATACCAAACAGGCTGGGCACAGTGGCTCGCACCTGTCATCCCAGCACTTTGGGAGGTTAAGGAGGGAGGATCCCTTGAGCCCAGGAGTTTGAGACCAGCCTAGGCAACATAGCAAGACCTTGTCTTTGCAAATAACTAAAAAATTAGCCAGGTGTGGTGGCTTGTGCCTGTGGTCCCAGCTACTTGGGAGACTGAGGTGGGAGGATCGCTTGAGCCCAGACAGTGAGGCTGCAGCAGATGGCGATCGTGCCAGTGCACTCCAGCCTGGGCAACGGAGAGACCCTGTCTCAAAAAACAGACAAACTCAGCACCTGGCACATGTTGTACATTCAATTCGTGGTGATGGGAAGATGTGACACACATACAAACAGACCATGGACGATGGGTCGGTAGTCTCTCTAAGACTCTAAGGCAAGCTCTCTGAGGGTACTGGAAACCCCAGCCTAGCTGATAAGGTGTACTCACCATTCAGAAGGTGACTATTATGGAATTCTGGAAACTTCTGCAAAAGCTCCAAAGAGGAGTGTGTGAATGATTCTGAGTCTAGGTTCCCCAGCTGCTTGGAGCCCCCAGCCACACCCTAGCTGCCCCTCAAATGCATCCAGAGACTGACAACTGAGGGTAAAGTCCTGTGCTTGGGGACACCGTGGCCTTAGGGCAGGGGGCAGGACCCCTGAATGTGACCCCTGGGAGATGTGATTCGGATCATGGAGAATGGGAGTGAGGTTGGGGCTCTGGAAGACAGGAGGACATCGGGGCATAGCAGGGGTCTTCGGAACATTACTCCTCCCAGGAACTGGATTCTGCTGGGAAGACAGCCCATGAGACCAGGTTAACAGCGCCCTGCCGGGCAGAGCACACAGGGACTGCTCTAACACCGAGCAATCTGTGATTAACAGGCTACACCAATTAGGAGCCAGCAGCACCCAAGGGAGCTCCTTGGGAAGTTTCTCTCCTCCTTCTCAACATCTCCTTTTCTGATTATGTAATGATTGCCCAGTTATTGTTGAAACTCTAAAAATACAAATATGTGTAAAATGGAAAATAACACCCCCCACATTCACCCTATAATTTTATCACCCACAGATGTGTGCTCAATATTTTGGTGTATTTTCCTTAAGCTGTTTTTCTAGACTCTTCCTTTCTTTGGGGAGTTCTGCCGTACCCCTGCCCCCCATGCCTTGTTCACTCTCAGCAAATCCCTTCTTTTGGAGCGTGAAGGGCAGAGGCGATGCGGCCCTGGGATCTGAGTCCTGATTTGAGAAGGATTTTCCTGAACTTCCAAGCAGGTCCTCTCTGTCGTTGCTGTCCAGGAAGGCAAGACAGGAGCTGAGGGACAGGAAACCCCAGGGGTGTCCATCCTACCCGGGACAGGACAGGCGGTCAGGAACAACAGCCAGATCTCTTGGGTGGCCTCTTGGGGGCCACCTCCACCAGTGAGCCCTTTAAGCTGTCTTCTTGCATCCTGAGTGACCTACGTGACAGTGGCCAGGCATCAGTACTCCCTCTCATCTCCCAGGGGCAGCATGGAAGGGCCCATGGGTGCAGCTTGGGGCTGGGAGGCTGCATCCGCAACCCCCACAGCAACTCCGCCCCTGCCCTGGACTCCACGTGGGACCAGAAGAACTGAGTCACGGAGACTTTGACCTTCTCTTTCTGGCCTACTGTGTGCCAAGCCCTGTGCAAGATTCTGACTATGACACAGAAGCCACCATTCCTTCCCTAGAGTAGTGAGAGAGAGACAGACAGGAAAAAGGGTGACTGCAACCCAGGAATGATGGGGAGACACACAGGGACTTCGCACCAGGTCCCGGAGGGATCTGGGGAGGAAGGGGATGTTGTCTGAGCTGAGACCTGAGCCATGGACACAGTTTGCCAGCAGAAGGGTTGCGGGGGGATTGCATCCCGGGCAGAGGGCTATGGCTCAGTGCCAAGAGAGAGCTTGGGGGCTGGGGAAGCAAAAGAAGGCCATTCATTTCTTCACGATATATTTACTGTGTGCCAGAGGGAGCTCGTCTGATCTAGCGCCCCACATCCCTGCCTCATTTCATTCATTTATGGAGCACCTAGGCCCCAGGTATGGGGAGGGGCTGAACAAAGCAGACACGGCCCTGACTTCCTGGACAACAAGAAAACAGATAAATGCATATATCGTTAATAGGAT